CACTATTATTATGGATTCAGAATATGAGAGTCAATAATATGCACATGGAAGTAAAATTTAAATTCTGAAGAAACTGTAACTAAGGTACGAGTGCGCTTTACATAAATTGTTAAACAAACAAAACAAAAAAACCCTAGTAACCTTTATTTTTAATTCAGAACAGCTTTAACCAATTAGCAACATTTACAACACATTTGTCACCCAGAATGGTCATTTACCTCAATTTAAAGGATCACCTGTTCGCTGCACTACCATGTTCAACAACCTAACTTACAAAGTTAAATCTATACAGCTATAAGAAAATCTTGCAACATCAGAAGTACCTTTCTTCTAGCCTGAAGTATGTGCTAACAAGTCAATCCAAAAGAGTGCAATGCCTTAATAATGTCTCTCTCTTACTGATGAAAGAGGAAAATAAGTCTTGAACCAAGACTCAAATTGCATTAGTTAAACCTACTTTTTGGTTTATTTTGCTTTCCAGTTAAAATAAGCTTTATTACAGAAACTGTTAAAAAATAGAAAGCTATATATGCAAGCTAACTTCTGGAGCTCAATTTTCAAAACTGTGCATGCCACTTGTTTTCGTAAAATGGGAAATGCATGTACACATGGCTGGCATCCTTTCGTCTGCAAGAGACGCTGGGATTTGCAGCCTATGATGTAGATGGTTTGCAATGTCTCATGTGACTGAATAGTCCAATCCGAGATTTGCATGACCTTTGGCAGCTGTTTCAAATGTATGTTTCTTGGTTGGGAACTGCTTGCTTCCTATGGGCTCTTTTCTCTTCAAGCTGTAGGAGCCAGCTCCTGTCATGGACTTGGATGCCTTGATGGAGACGTTGGCACCACTTGTTACAGTCACTTGCCAAGGTTTTCCATTGGTCAGGATCAATTCCAAATTCCTTCATATTTCGCTTGCATGTGTATTTATAGCGAAGCTTGAGACGCCCTGTTGTTCTTGTTCCATCTGATAGCTCCCCGTATAGCATGTCCTTGGGTATGCGTCCATCTTCCAAACTACTCAGATGGCCCAGCCAGCGCAGTCATCTTTGCTTGAGCAGGGCTGTCACACTTGGTAGAACATGGATAACTGATGCTCATCAGGAGAAAAGATTAAATAGTTTCCACCTACGCTGTTTACGCCACATACTCAACACCAAATGGCAAGATAAAGTTACCAATGTATACATGGGCATTCAAATAGATGCACACAGAATCAAATGTCTTACTAGTTTTAAACCAGGACCATGTAAATGCACAGGTAATGCTGCACAGCAGAAAGACTGTGCTGGGCTACAATACATCTGGCATTATCATTTAACACATGAGGAGGTTACAAAGATGGATATGTATTTCTGGATAAGTGATACACTGGATACTTGATACACTGATCTGATTTTCTCTGTTTAGGGTTTTCACTGCACAGTGTACCTAGCACATGAAGAAAAGAATAGAGAGGATTTACAAAGGTGTTTCTTTCTTAGACGATTTTAAAAATTCTACATATTCATATCAGATTTACCTTAGGCATAAGATATTCAGACATATTGATTTGAAAACAGCTTCATGACCTCAGCCCTAGTCCTAACCCAAAAAAGCAACTCCAAGACTTGGATCCGTTCAATTAAATTAACGCTTCCTCCTCTTCCAGCCCCCTTCAACCCAATCCTGATATCTATTGAAGACTCGTGGGATCTAAGGCCTTGTCTACACTACAGAGTTTTGTCAACAAAAGTCAGCTTTCATCAACAAAACAATGGAGGTGTACACACAACAATGCTCCTCCCACTGATTTAACTTTCCTGTTACTCCACAAAAATAAAACCACCTCAACAAGAGGCGTAGAGCTTTTTGCGACAAAGTTAGATCAATGCAGTGTCACTGTAGACACTGTGTTTAATTATGTTACTGTAAATGGCCTCCAGGAGGTGTCCCACAATGCCCAGCTGGCCACTGTGGTCAGCAGTTCAAACTCCGCTGCCCTGTAGCCAGGTACACATGCATCCGCCACTCTCCTTTAAAGGACTGTGATTTTTTGAAATTCCACTTCCTGTTTGCTCGGTATGGACCGTTCACATTGTATCTTCCCAGCTGACCATGGCGGCTCCCTGCAGCAAACATGTTCCCGCTTGGAGTACACCAGAGTTGTTGGACCTGCTGGGTCGGTGGGGAAAGGGAGTCCCAACTCTGCTCCAGCCGTAGGAACTTCGATACCTACAATCAGATTTCTCTTGGCATGTTGGAGAAGGGCCACGAACAGGACATGCATCAGTGCCGTGTGAAGATCAAGGAACTGAGGCAGGCATACCAGCAGGCAAGGGAGGCAAACCATTGTTCTGGAGGTGCGCCAAAGATCTGCCACTTCTACAAGGAGCTGGATGCCATCCTCAGCAGCAATCCCTCCTCCACCAACAAGAGTCCCGTGGATACTTCAGGGGGAATTGGAGACAGCGGACTGAACCCCGAAGACAGAGTGGTGGATGAGGAAGTGGAGTTGGAGCATGAGGTGGGACAGGTGACAGGGTCGTCCTGTAGGCATGGCAAGCCAGGACCTCTTCTCAAGTCCAGAGGGTTCAAGGCAGTCTCAACACTCCGGCTCTGGCGCACATGATACACAAGAGGGGAGCTCTGGTAAGCATTAATTTTGATTTGATACTATTCAGTTACATGAGATAGCGCTGTCCTTTCTTTCATTTAGTGTACTAGAAGTGGGTAAAGGGATAGAAATGTACAAGAGAAGAAGTATTTGCGTCTGCTTCCCATTCCCCTACAGCTACGCAGTGCAGGCCCTGCAGAAAAGTTCGTTAATTCACACTGAGATTTCACAGGAATCCTCCAGAGAGATCTCTAGGAAATTTTCCTGGAGGTACCTGCCAATCCTCTGCCGAAGATTCCTTGGCAGAAATGCTTTGTTTCTTCCCCCACTGTAGGAAACTCTCTCACGCCAATTGGCAATCACTTGTGCAAGGACCAAACTGACAAACAAACAAGCAGCATAGAGACCTGGTCTGAAGCCGCATGAATGCCAGAGATGCACCCTTGGATCCTTGTTTACCCTCAGGAGTGAGATATCGGCTTCAATTACCTCCACCTGTGGAAAATGGTGGCAGAATTTATAATAGTGTCCCTAGTCGCTTGTAGTGATCCTCTTAAAAAGCCACGTAGACCCTTTGTTCCATCTTGGACCTTCCCCCCCCCGGGCCAAACTCACCATGTTTAGGGCACTCAATGAGCTGCATGCTTGCCAAGGGAGAGTGAGTGAGAAAGAGGTGTATTTAACTATAATGATTCAATGCTGTGAGTGCCTCTGTTTATTGCTTCTTGTGCTTCTGCAGATGTGCACTTCAGGGGAACCCCTTACACACCAACAGAGCGCCTCCACCAGATAAGGAGGCAACACAGGAGGAGTAAGGAGGACATATTTAGGGAGGGCCTCCTATCGTCAGATACCACAGATGTTGAGCACAGGGCATGAAGAAAGACAATTGATGAAAAATTGAAAATAGATAGCCTGGAGAGGAAGCATGGCTAGGAATGTATTTTAGTGGACCAGTTGATAAAACTGATGGAGGACAAGAGATGCTGCAGTCAGAACATGTGTGCTCGCCTTCCCCTGCAGCCTATACAGAACTGTGTGCCCTGCCCTTCCCACACTCTCCACACACATTCTTTGCATCTCGCAGTACCCCTTTCACACCACCCCTTCGGATAGGTTCCCTAAGGACATCTAGACTTATACACAGCTATGAGAGCTTCCATTAAGGAAGTGCTCCTCAGTGTCATGTCCCTTGCATGACATGGGATAGCTACCCACAGTGCACTGCTCTCTTTCTCTATGCTGCAGCACCAACTGTGGACACACTCCGCCGACACAAGTAGAGTTGTGTGAACATGCACAAGTGCTGTAATTATAGCAGTTTATGATCATCGGCACAACTTGCGTTGATTTAATTCTGTAGTGCAGACAGTCTACATAGATCCCCAGATCTTCTGTTGGGCCCAAATTATTGTCTCCATTCAGATCCTACAATGCCCTGGGTTGGGAGATTTAGAAAGATAAACCTGCCTGCCTGGAACAGAATGAATGATCCATTGGGACTCTCAATTCCATATAATACTAGATGATCAGATGGGATTATAATGAGAGGAAGATGTCCTACAATAGGTCTGGCTATGAGGGACATGGGCAGCAGATCACAATGTACATGGAAAGAAGGAAGGGAACATTTTAAGCCAGTTGGGTAGGAGACCACAACAGATTTTGAGGTTAGATACTGTAAATATCTGAACTTTCTGAGATTCACCTATCATTAACTTAGACTCTTCAACACAAAGGAACCATACTTTATTGTAGTGATTCAATTCGCCTCTGCACTTAACTACATGCTCACAGGGAATTTCAAACATACTATATTACAGGAACAATCCAGTCTGCCACTAGTCACTGCATTAGTCAACTTATTTAGGCATTTCTTAAGGCAACTAGAGAGTAGCTTGAAAAAGCAAGTGATGCACGAGCCCTATGCCTGAGTTCTTCATCAGTTCTCGGAGCAACTTGACCGCATAAAAACGCAGACACCCCACAATTCTTGATGTATCTGAAGCATATTACACCAATATGCAGGTTCTTTTTGATATCAAATGTAGAATCACTGATGTCTCACGCAAATTCACAGGATCATGTCACTTTACTCAAAGTCCTGAGATGAAATTATTTCATATTAGCAATATATTTTACATATTTCTTGTTCTCACTTAACCACATATGTGCTGACATTTCACTATGAAGCCTATTGAGAATATGTCTGCTCATTTTAAGCTAGAAAATTTCACAAATTCAACTCACTAATTCATGCATGCTATGAAACATTTGTTAATTTCCTGGTACAACACATTTGTCCATTTACACAGATTTTGTCTAATTAAAGTCCCTCTCAAAGAGAGGTGAATCAGATGCCAAGTGTAAGAACCTAGTTCCATATATTGTTATTCTACAGTACCTCTGAAGTACTTTCATTGTTCACATCCACTGCATTTCCTGGGGCTGCAGAGGAATCCGAATCCGAGCTCTGAGACCCAACTCTGCCTGGAGTCTGAAACGGAAGAAATATAAATTTTATTAAACTGAGTCTGAAGTCTATGTTGCAAAAACGAATGTCTTTTATAAATTTGTTTATAATTTTAAGATTTTACATCAATAGTAAATTGAATAAACTGACAAGAATACTGCATAAATAGTCAATGCAACAGTGTACAATCCATACTTACTGCCAAGCCCTGACATGATCACTTGAGTAAGGAGTATTTATTAGAAAGATCAATACACAACAATATATAAGAATTTAATACATAAAGAACTAAGCCAAACTGCACTTATTATCATTCAAATTACAGCTAAATACAGTTAAATGGTTATTCAATAGAAAAATTCCTAGAAATTAAAATTTTGCCTCTTAAACAAGGTATTAAATAAATACTAACATACTCCTCTTCAGACTGTGGAGTTTTGATAACTAAAACAACGTTTTTATAATTGTCAGATTATTCAGTAGAAAAGTAGGCCCACTGATATGATAGTAAGTAAATAAAAAAATATTACTTTACAAATCACCAAATTTCAATATAGAGGATAAGTAGAAAACTCAAGTTAAAACTGCTTCATAGATCAAACTTCCAATTAAATTAGACTAGCTTATTCAACAAGAAATCCTATAAAATGAAGGTGTATATTTCATTTGCTTCCAGTATATGTTTCTTTCCAAATTACAGTTTCAAACCAGTAAACAAATTAGTAAACACTACTTCATTCAAAGTCTCATGAAATAGATTCAGGTTACTAATCCTCAGCCAATTCATCCTACTTTTCAGCAAGAGATTCATTTTTCCTTCTCTTATCTACTTCAAAAGTTCCACTGCTTCATCAGAATCATAAAAGAAAGTTAACATCCTCAACAAGGCAAACTTTAGCAAGGAAAGTTATTGAAACAGCCAATCACAAAAAAAAATTCTTCCATAGCATAACATTTTTCTCCCTCTTAAATTCTGTGTGGGTCCAGATTGTTCTGAAAAAACAAGGATTTGTTTACTCTTATAGTAAAATTTTACTTTTGGTCTCTGAACCGTTGACCATCAATCACTCCCAATCTAGAGCCAACTCAAAGTTTACTTTAAGAATTCCATTGACAGGGTTAGAACGTGAATGAAGTACTGATGTTGTAATTTTGTAAGCAATCTTATATAAGGTATTCACACTTTCTGCATACAGAATTTTAAAGGGAGAGGGCTACAGGAATAAGTTTTGTCTACATACTTCAGAAACAGAAATATCATAACATTATTTGTCTTGGAAAAGAATTCCAAAATCTTTTAAACAAATCAATAAATAACCCTTTATAAAGATGCCTCTAAATGTAATTTTCTCCCTTAGTTTGAAATTGAAGTATAGATTCTATATGCGTTTATAAATAATATTCTTTTTTCCCCTCCAGGATTACAGATTTGTATTAGTAATTAAATATAATTTTAAATCTATCTGATCAAATCCGTCATATAATTACTGTACTGCTCCTAACATACAGTACACCTTAAAGAAGTCTGTGAAGATCAAATAGGATGAGGTGAGTGGTTGTGGGAAATTAGCTGAATTCACTGCACCTAACAGAGGTGGGCAATGGTGACCATGACAAGAGATAGGAGAAGAGAGAACCTCTTCTTGTTGCATCCTCCCCCTTTAGTTGTTGCTGAAATGGCCACTGCTACAAGTTTATCCATTTTGTGTCCTGTTTGTTACTTAGTCTATTTGCTGGAAACATGAAAGAAGACAAAAAACAACATGAGAGAACAATACAGTCTCATTCTAGCTATAAAATTATTATTTAGAGTGCAGTAGCATCCATAATATGGTAGAAGATTTCTAACCACAGAAGATGATGACATAGCCCCTACCTCTAAAAATGTATAATCTAAAAGGCAAATAATGGATCAAAAGTGGAAGAAAGGAATATGATATATACATCAAGGTGATGCCTGGCACTTATATTGGTATTTCTCATAACTAATTTTTTTATATTGTACCAGCTACCATCTATTGCTTTTTTAGGCCTGGTCTATACTACAACTTTAATTCGGATTTAGCAGCGTTAAATCGAATTAACCCTGCACCCGTCCACACAACGAAGCCATTTAATTTGAAATAAAGGGCTCTTTAAATCGATTTCTGTACTCCACCCCAACGAGCAGAGTAGCGCCAAAATCGATTTTATCATTTCGAATTAGGGTTAGTGTGGCCGCAATTCGATGGTATTGGCCTCCGGGAGCTAACCCACAGTGCACCATTGTGACCGCTCTGGACAGCAATCTGAACTCGGATGCACTGGCCAGGTAGACAGGAAAAGCCCCGCGAACATTTGAATTTCATTTCCTGTTTGCCCAGCGTGGAGAGCACAGGTGACCACAGATCGCTCATCAGCACAGGTAACCATGCAGGCCGATAATCAAAAAAGAGCACCAGCATGGACCATACGTGAGGTACTGGATCTGATCGCTATATGGGGAGAGGATTCAGTGCTAGCAGAACTTGGTTCAAAAAGACGAAATGCAAAAACTTTTGAAAAAACCTCCAAGGGCATGATGGAGAGAGGCCACAATAGGGACTCAGATCAGTGCCGCGTGAAAGTCAAGGAGCTCAGACAAGCCTATCAAAAAACAAAGGAGGCAAACGGTCGCTCCGGGTCAGAGCCGCGGACATGCCGCTTCTACGACGAGCTGCATGCAGTTCTAGGGCGGGCCGCCACCACTACCCCACCTCTAACCGTGGATTCCGAGGCGGGGATAATCTCATCAGCTACACCTGAGGATTCTGCGGACGGGGAAGAGGAGGAGGAGGACGAGCTTGCAGAGAGCACCCAGCACTCCGTTCTCCCCAACAGCCAGGATCTTTTTCTCAGCCTGACTGAAGTACCCTCCCAACCCAGTATCCAAGACCATGACCCCATGGAAGGGACCTCAGGTGAGTTTACCTTTTAAAATATAAAACTTGTTTT